GTCTTTGCAAATAGGGAAGGGTGGAGTGGGTGAAGGGAGGGCAAGGGAAGGGGAAAAAAAAATAAGAACCAAGAGACTCATGTAATGGTACAAGATCCCGATGATGAATGTAACTATTTTATACCTAAAATGTACCAATAAAGTTAAAGGGGAAAAAATAAAAATAAAGACAAAAAACAAAAAACAAAAAACAAAAAACAAAATCTGTTTCCTTATCCTTAATTACATATTTCTCCCAAAGCAAAATCCCTAAGCTTTGCAACAGTCATCAAACTCCAATCGCTATCTTCAATTCAATTCCATTCCATACTCAGTGGTAACAGGTCTTCCTACCCCAACCCTGGACTTTTACAAATTTGCTATATATCCTATATCCACTCCTAAACATTCCTCCTACTTCTTTGGCTGAAGTAAAATCCCAAATCCTCTAAAAGCACCATTTCCTAAATAATCATTTCTAAAATAAGACAATACTCTTCCTACTCTGCTAGATTCACGAGAAAAGGATACTATCTGAAGACTTTTTTTTTTCTTTTTTTTTTGGTACCAGGGATCGAACTCGGGACCTTACACTTGTGAGACAGGCGCCAGAACCACTGAGCTAAATCCCTGGCCTTAAAGACCATTTTTATTTAATGCTTAGCCTTTTCTCTTTTGAAAATTAGTCATCAAAAATATCATTCTCTAGATATTGGGCATCATTTCATACTGTCCTACCTAATATGGTCTTGCTCCTTCCTTGACTGAAACTGTCTTTTAGTTTCACTCTCCAAATCATTTGCTTTTAGGAACAGAATATTTGCAAGGATTTTTCTAAGATTCTGGTCTCAATTCCAATGTTCGTTCATCTTTTTTATTTTTGTGCCTTTTTCACTCTGAACTGGTAATTTGTTCAAGGTCCTGAACTGCTGAAATTTCACTTTTGATCATAAACTCTTGCATTCTGCTTCTCTGTCTCATTTCTGCTGAACTTTGTTGGCCCTCTTAAATACTTCCAGTTGCTCAGTCATTAGTCTCTCCTTGAATCTATTCCCCACTCAAACCGAAATACAAAACCTAGTAAGCTATTCCAAAAATGCAATGCTAGCATCCCCAACTTTCTCATCAATTTGTCCATTCTGTTAACTTCAGATAAACCCACTACCTGGCTTTCTTTCCTTCTACTTTACACTGTCAACAGTGGAGAAAGTCATAAAATAACATTGTGCACACTATTAAGGTATATTATATTCCCTCCCTCCTCCCCACCTCTTCTCTCTGTCTCTCTTGGTCTGTCTCTCTCTCCTTCTTTCATGAAATACTGTGTTTCTGTTCACTGCCCTACCTCCAGTACTTGACAGTCATTACACAGTACACTGAAGGCACTCCAATCTGTAAAATGAATGTATCTCCAATTAGGTTCAAATTCCCTAGAATGGTTAATCCACAACATTTCTAGTTTTTTCAAGTCTCAAATCCATTTTCTCCTTCAGAAAAGGCCAAAGCCTGTATTAAGAAAACCAGTCTTGCAATGTGAGCTAACTCAATTTTTTATTCCTCATTCCATCTTCCCTAATGTGCTAAAAAGAAAATTATTTTATAACCAACTTTATAAAACATTTTACTAAGTGGCCACTATTAAGCAATCACCTAATGTTTTAGAAACTGATGCTTTCACATTTGACTTTTCCTGAGTTCCATTTTTCTTTTTTTATGTTCCATTTTTCTTGTTCTATTTTGTTACAGTCTTACAGGAAAGAAAAAAAAAAGCAAATCAAAAAACCCCACTGAGAATCAACTTCCAATTTGTATTTTCTCATGATAGTCTCATTTCAGGTCCTTACAGGGAAGGTGAAGATCTGCTTTTGTAAAAAGCAAGAAAATATTAAAGAAATTTTGAAAATAGGCATTCTGAAATTTTTAACAGAATGAAATTCAGATTATTTGATATTTTTAAAAGACCAATTATGTCTAAAATGCATTTAACACAGTTTCTTCTCATTTTCATTTTCAGCCACTTTACTTTCTAAATCGCCCTTACCAATTACATAATTTTCCATCAGTAAACTTATATTCCCCAGCACAGACTTTTTAACATGTGACAATGCATTACACATAAAAAACTAATGTTCAAAATAATTTTAGACACTAAAAGAACAGTCAATTATAGGTATAACAAACTTAGAAAAGTTCCTAAAAGACAATGCCAATTACTGTAAGAAAAATGCGAAGGAGATAACCTGAGGTTACATGGATTTGTAAAGACAGCTATGCACAAAAAAAAGAAGAGCTATGCACATGTTTGTAATAGTACAAATTCAAACTTAAATGGGCTTAATAAATGCTGTGAAAAAAATTTCAAAAACTACAACATAAGTCATTCTAGGAGACAGATAGAAAAGGAGACCAAAATGGCATGTCAAGAAATAGTAAACAAGACCAAAAAAGTCCAGATTTTTTTTTAACTTAGAGAGGGCTCTCAATCATGTGGTATTTGGATAGCAGTCCCCATCAATAGTTTTTCAGCTATTATGCAAAGAAAAATAATACAATGATAATTACCTTTTCAGAAACTAGTTTTTGCACCTCACAAGCAACTCCTTTCCTGCTGCACACTTCAAAGCTGTTCTGTGTTAATGATTTTTTTAAAATTCAGTAAACTCTTACACTGAGAAATACAGAATAACAAATTTATCACAGTCTAAAATGTTTAGGAAGTCAGTAAGGAAAAATATTATTTATCAATATTTTAAGCTCAAATTACCTTAATCCTTCGGGAAAACAATGTGATATATCGTAAATACTTAAACCCCCCAAACTTCTAAGTCTACCAAACAGTAAAATGGTATGTTAGCATCTATTCTGGAAGATAATGAAAACTGTTAACCCCCAACTACCATATCAGCTAAAGAGTCATACAAAAGTTCACTCCTGACCGACCAATCATTACCTTCTGTCAAACTAAAGACCACTGAATATCCAATGATGAAAAAATGTGTTTATTTTAAAACTAGCTACTATCACTATATAAACACAAACTGCACCTTTGATTTAAAAATTCAATATTATAAAGGAGTCCACACGCCCTCTCCAGGAAAGTGATAGAGAAAGAAAGGAGCAGGTGCGCCCGAAGCTGTACGACACCCACTGTGGTAACCAGAGAATACCAGAAGGCGGAGTCTGAAAAACTGTTACGGAGGTGAGGGCGTCAGGGGCGCCCAGAAAACCCGCTTCTTCTAGCGCCAAAACACGATCCGTTACCCGCAGTTCACACCACACAGACCTCAAACCAGCCAGGAAAAAATAACATCAGAAAAGGTGAGCCCCAGAGGAGAGTGGGCCGCAGGACAAAAAGTTCGCTCGATCAGGCGCTCCAGTGGGGCCTAATATCTAATCTTCATTTCTGCAAAGTAAGCAATGTTTCCCCAACCCGATTCTGCATTTCGTTTTCTCCATTCTATCCCCCCAATCTAACTAGATCTGCAGTAAAGAACGCAGAAGGGGGTACCGGAGACGTGAAGGAAGGCTATTAAATTAACACTCCCTTCGCAGATATAAACCAACTCTTGGCCAAAGTCAGGAACGCCTACTCTGGAGCTTAGCTCTAAGAATATCAGAGACAGCAGAAATCCCGCTGTTCACAGCCCAACCCAAACCCTAAGACTCGCGCCATTCCTCATCGGCCCTCCTCCACCCAGGGACTCTAGACGTGCACAGCCTCACAGAACGGCAAACGGGGGTGGGGCAAAGGAAGCGTAGTGCTGGGGCCTCGGGCCACGAGGGACCTCAGGCCACGAGGGACCTCTTCTTCCGCCCATAAGGGGCAATCCAGGGCACCTGCACGCAGGCCGGCCTCCTCCCGAGGACGACACAGATACAGGGGGAGGGGGCCAGGAAGGCCAAAAGGGGTTTTCTGCAGTCGCCTACGCGTCCCCAAGATGCTCACCCGGAGGTCGCGTCGGTTGGTCCCAGGAAAGGGGCGGACTGTGTGCCCAAGGGACGAAAAGCTGCCAGAGAAGACCCAGGAGCCTACAGAGGTCTCTGGGCCCGAAGCCGGGCCCAACACTGTCAAAGAGTCCTAAAGCCGTTGCTCTTCCACCTCTAGGGCGCGCTGCCCTCGGTTGCCAGGGGCCGGAGACGCGCAGGTTTTACCTATTAACGAAGTAGCTCCTCCTGCCACCAACAGCGGTCGGACTTGAGAGACCGCAGAGGAGGTTCACAAGGTCCTGGACTTTCTAGAGCCCAACGGCCCCTTTTCTACTTTAGCCTCTCGGCGTCAACCGCCGCACACACCGCCATCTTAGGATCTCATTGTGGTGGGAGAAAATGGGCGGGGGGACTGCAGAGGGGCGACGCGCAGCGAGACCTGCGCCGTCTCCTCGGCGACCGCCGCGCGGGGGCGAGAATTCGCTGGTTTGGGAGCCGCACGGCGATCTCTACGCGCTAGATTTAGGTCACGTGATCAGCGGTAGTCTGTGGTGTCCGGTCTAGCCCTTTCGCCGGAAGGAATTACAGTACACGAACGAACAGCAAGAGACTACATATCCCAAATGCACACTCGACCGGGTTGAACGCGCCGTCCGGCCACGGGAGGGACTGTAAGTCCCAGCATGCTGTGTGCTTCCCTGCCCTGGCCTGTGCGGAAGTGGATTGACCTCTGCTTCCAGCGGCAAAAAAAGAGCGGGGGCGCGTTCTGTTTTTCCGTGGGGTTGTCAGCTCTGGATCGTCCTAGAAGAAGGAGCAAAGGCCGAGATCTGTCCTCTAGTCCCTTCCCACCCACTGGCGGGTGACTAAGGGAAGAAAACAAAAGGACCCTTACAATGTAGTCCAACCTCCTAAATTTAACAAGAGATAAATCCACCGGAATTAAATAATTTTCTACACGTCATACATAGTGGGAGTATCACAAATAATGTTGATGTCACTTTAGAAATAGTTGACTTTACTTACAGTTTAATCTTGGGAAATTGTCTCTGAACCTGTCGTTTCTGAATTCTCTTTTTATATTCTGTTAACAGCTCTATGAAGATTAGTAAATTGACACATAATCTAAAATAACATAATTAGGTAGCATGACTAGACTAAAGTGTTCTTCGCAGAAAAGTTAAAACACTTGCCAATTTTAGTTGCGTACGAGGGCATTCTGTTTTTTAAAAGTTGGTAATTATCCCGGGGATTTAGCTCAATGGTGCCATGCCTGCCTCGAAAGTACAAGGTCCTAAGTTCATCCCCAGTACCGGAAAAAACAACCCAAAAAAACCACAAAAAGTAGGTATTTATGGGATAAACTTTGTTTTGTTGGGGATTGAACTCGGGACCTTGCGCTTTCCAGGTAGGCACGGTGCCACTGAGCTAAATCCCTGGCCCTGGGATAAAGTTTTTAAATGCAAAATAAGAGTAAGCAGGAATGAGGAATGGATTTCTGGGTTCTACTAGTTCTCAACTACCAACAAAAATTGTTTACAAGACCAATTAATAGAACCACATATAAGTACATAATTCAGATAAATAAAGCCTTTCTGTAATTTGTTACTGCATTCAGGTTTGATCAGTGCTCTGATGACCATCAGTGCAATAAGAATAGTACTGATTGATCATATTTTTAAAAAATATTCTGTTTCTAATATGTAACCACTAAGAGAAACATAGACCCAGCTTTGAAGAGCTCATATTTTAATGAAGGATGGGCAAGTGTGGTATGATGAAATAAATTCTGTATTGTAAGAAAAAGTGCTGTAGTAACTTGACACAGTACAGCTAATCAGGTGTTTATCATAGTCTGGAATGCAGTATCTTAACCACACTACTTTGAGCTTTTGGGCAAGTCACTTATCTAAGGTTCATTTTCCGCATCTGTGAAATGGAGGCAGGAGAGAAAAATAATACTGCCCACCTTGAAAGGATTTAACATTTTTTCTTAGAGTTTCTTTTATGGATTCTCAAAATGTCAACACTATTATGTCTGTGTTATGGTTTAACTCTAAAATGTACCCCCAGAGTCTCAGGTGTTCAGAGGTATGGAAAGTGATTGTATCACAGGGACATAGCTGAATATGCTGTTAGGAAGTGGGGTCCAGTTGGACGAGGTGGGTCACTGGAGCATGATCTGGAAGGATGTAATCTTGTTCCCAGCTCCTCTCTTCACTCTCTGCTTCCTGGTTGCCAAGAGTTGAGCAATTTTCCTCACCATGCCCTTTTACCATGATAGCTTTGCCTTAGAGCCAGCTGACTATGGACTGAACTCTCTGAAACCATGCGCCAAATAAATCTCTCCTCCTTTAGGTTGTGTGTGCCAAGTATTTGGTCCCAGCCATGGTAAAGGTAATTGTTATGGTTTATATTTAATGACCCCAAAGAGCTTTGTGTGCTCATCAGCAGGGATTTTGGAAGTTGATTGACTTATGGGGGCATACAGCTGACTTGCTATTAGGAGGTATAAAGTGGTTAGAGGCAGTCACTGGAGAGAGTGACTTGGTAGGATATGTGTCTCTTCTTGGCTCCTCCCTTCTCTCTCTCTGCTTTCTGGCTGCCATGATGTGAGCAGCTTTCCTCTGCCATACCCCTCTGCCATGCCATTTCTTCCCTGGAGTTGGCCAACCATTGACTAACCATAGGCCAAAATAAACATTTCCTTTACATTGTGGGTGTTGGGAATTTTGTCCCAGTGATGAGGAAAGTGACTAAGATACTAATACAGAAAACTGTACCAGGAATGAGGTTGTTGCTATGGCTATACCTGACCAAGTGGTTCAAAAGCGTTTGGAATTGTTTTGCAGCAAAAGTTTGGAAAGGTTTGGAGATGTGGGCTAGAGAAACCTTAGAATGTTATGAAGAGCTCTTGTTAGTCAATTCTGTTGGGAGCTCAGAAGATCAGAATGCTAATAGAATGTGGGCAGTAAAGGTCAGGCTCTTCTGGCTTCCAATGAGAACTGAGATCTCTATTGAAACTTGGACTAGGGGCCATTCATGTTATATTCTGGCAAAGAATTTGGCTGTATTTTGCCCATGTCCTAAGACTTCATGGGAGGCTAAATTTAAAGATAACGGACTAATTGATCAGGTGGAAGAAATTTCAAAGAAGTTCATCATTCAGATGGTAGTGTGGGCACTGCTGGCTGCTGTTAGCCAGATTTATGTTGAGAATCAGAAGCAAAGCCAAAAGATGTAAACATTTTACAGCTTGGCCAGAAAAGAAGCTTTGTAAAGCTGGTGCCAAGGAGAGTGTGGTTCCTGAAAAGATTAACTCAATTTAAAAGAAGCCAAGTACTTTGTAGCAGGACAATAGGAAAGGTAGCTTGAGGGCATCTTAGAAATTCGCCAGACCTCACCCATGGCAGGCTCAGGATTTAAAAGTGCAAAGATTTTTCAAAGACTTTGCTTTGAGAAAACCCCTGGAACACTGGTTCAGGACTTGTTTGGGAAGTGTTTTAAGAGTTCAGTCAGCAAGGCATGCAGAGCCACTGTTCCTAATACTGTCTGTTGGGTGATAAGAGAAATTTGAAAAATTCTTATATTAGAAAGGAGTCAAGGAAAATCTGGGGAAATATATCATGACTTCCAAAATTTAAATATCTAATCCAGAAAACAAACTTTTGTAAACAAATCAGTTTAGTGTCAGTAGTGTATGACTATCAAATAAATGGTATAGGCAAGAAGTATTTTAGTAATTTAGGAAAAAATAGGAATATGTTGTCTTAGAAATTATGATAGCTCCAGGATTTTTTTTCCAGTACAGGGGATTGATCGAAATCAGGAACTTGCCTTGCCAGGCAGGTGTGGGCACCACTGTGATAGCTCCAGGATTTTTATGTAGGTTAAAATTAGGGACAGTAATCTGTGGACTGTGGCTACCAAACAAAAAAGTGGCTTCTAAGAGATACACATTGAAACTATGTTTCAGGTTTCTGCATTTAGGAGAACAATTTAACATGCATATTAAAGATGCATGGGGTGTGTCTTAGTCACTTTCCTCACAGCTAAGACAAATATCTGACACCCACAATTTAAAGGAGAGGTTTATTTTGGCTCATTATTACAGTCTCTGGTCAGCTGGTTCTAAGACAGAAACAGCATGGTGAAAGGGTCTGGGAAAGGAAAGTTGCTGCTGTCATGGCTTCTAGGAAGCAGAGAGAAAAGAGAGGAACCAACGACACTAATAATATCCTTCCTGGGCCAGGGATTTAGCTCAGTGGTTTCACCACCTGCTGCGCAGGTACAAGGACCCAAGTTCGATCCCTAGTACCAAAAAAAATATATCTATCTATCTATCTATCTATCTATCGCCTTCCAAGTCACACCCCAAGTAACCCTCCTGACCAGGCCCCACCTCCCAGCAGCACATACAACCCCTGAACTCACCAGGGGATGAATCCACTCATGAGTACCATGCCCCTATGATCCAATCACCCTCCAAAAGCCCTGCATCCAAAGGCATGTGAGTTGGGGGTTTGATGTAAACTGTGGCAGGGTATAAATGTTCATGGAAACAGGACATATTAAAACACAGACAATAGATCCAGAATGAGAAATGAACAACACACCAAAAAAAGACTTGGAGAAGTAAAGTATTCATGTGAGATGAGAGGTGGAAGGGTGGGAGAAGGCAAGATTGATGAACAGAATGGGACCAAACTCTGGAAATCCTTAACTATTGATCTGAAAAGTTTGGACTTTTGTTCTCCAGGTATTGTGAAACCATGTGAGATTTTTGGAAAGTGGGCAATGATATAATGAGATGGTTAAGACTGAAATCTAGTGGCAATGTGTAATACACCTGAGGAAGAGAAGAAAAGAGATGGAGAAAGAGAACAGGTAGTAACAAGTACCGAGTAAGTGAGCTTGGCATTAGCCAATAGCAGATGTATAAAATAAGAGAGTTGGATTTTGGATTTTAATTAACATAAACTAAATTAGTAGTCCAGATTTGAAAAATATATTTGTTTCTATTTTTTTATATTTAGTACTGATATTTACCACTGATCAGGTGGTACTATTTAAAATTTTGTGTTACATTGTCTTCTAATATATTTTGTATGTTCTTTATCCACAAATGAATTGTAAGTATGGATATAGCAGAAACTCTATCTTTTGTATTTCTTTATATCCCTGATGCCTTGCAGAATTCTTTCATGTTCATTAATTTTAAAAGTTTTCTGCAAAAATAAATAAATAAATTTTTAAAAAAGATTTTTGCAATGCCTAGTTCTAACCTGAAGGTGGGGATAGAACTTAAAGAAAAAATCTTTATTGACACCTCATACTATTTATAATTGAATTTTATTATTATTCTTATGAGATTTTTTGATGCAAAAGAATACATGGCAAATATATTAACTGTAAATTACAATTGTAAAAACCTTGAAGAATCCAACTAACTTGAAAATAGAATTT